AAGGAGTAGGAGGAGAAAGATAAGGAGGAGAAAAATGACATTGTTTCCTTTTGCAGGGGATCCTCCCCATATTGATTCCTTATGTGGACGGGACCTCCACATGTTGATTCCGTCTGTGGAGGGACCTCCACATATTGATTCCCTATGTGAAAGGGGTCGCCATATTGATTTCTTGTGTGGAGGGGCCTCCCACTTGTTGATTCCTTATGTTGGAAGGGGCCTGCGCATATTATCTCTTTATGTGAAGGGGCGTGCACATGTTGACTCCTCATGTGGAAGGGCCTTCAAACATCGACTCCATATGTCTAGGGGCCTCCACATTTTGATTCCATTTGTGGAGGGACCTCCACATAATGATTCCATATGTGCAGGGGGGCTCCATAATGATATCTTGTGTGGAGGGGCCTCCCACTCGTTGAATCCTTATGTGGAAAAGGCCTGATTCCTCTTGTGGGGGATCCTCCACATATTGTTTCCTTATGTGGAAGGGTTTTTCACATGTTGATTCCGTCTGTGGAGGGACCTCCACATGTTGATTCCTTATGAGCAAAGATCTCCATATTGATTCCTTATGCGGAAAGGCCTCCAACTTGATCATTCCTTATGTGGAAAGGCCTTCACATAATGATTCCTTATGCGAAAGGGCCTGCACATATGGATTCCTTATGTGGATGGGCCTCTTAATATCGATTCCTTATGTGGAGGGGCCTCCACATATTGGTTCCGTCTGTGGAGGGACCTCCACATGTTGATTCGTTCTGTGGCGGGCAATCTCCTTTTCCTCCTCTTCCTTCTGCTCCTCCTCCCTCCTTCTCTCACTCAGGCGCAGGGGTTGAGGAGAAGAAGAATCAGAAAGAGTAGGAGGAGAAAGATGAGGAGGAGAAAAATGAGATTGTTTCCTTTTGTGGGGGATCCTCCACATATTGATTCCTTATGTGGAAGGGACCTCCACATGTTGATTCCGTCTGTGGAGGGACCTCCACATATTGATTCCCTATGTGCAAGCGGTCTCCATATTGATTTATTTTTGTGGAGGGTCCTCCCACTTGTTGATTATTTATGTTGGAAGGGGTCTGCACATATGGATTCCTTATGTGGATGGGCCTTCAAATTATCGACTCCTTAAGTTGAGGAGCCTCCACATGTTGATTCCGTCTGTTGAGGGACCTCCACCAATTGAGTTCGTTTGCGGCGGGCGATTTCCATTTCCTCCTCCTCCTCCTGCTCCTCCTCCTCCTCCCGCTCTGGCGCAGGGGTTGACGATAAGAAGGAGCAGAAGGAGTAGGAGGAAAAAGATGAGGAGGAGAAAGATGAGATTGCTTCCTTTTGTGGAGGGGCCTCCCCCATATGTGGTCCTTATGTGCAAGGGGCTTCGCGCATATTGTTTCCTCTTGTGGGGGGGGAGTCCTCCACATGCTGATTCCTTATGTGGAAGGGACCTCCACATGTTAATTTCGTCTGTGGAAAGATTTCCACATATTCATTTCTTCGGTCAAAGGGGTCTCCACATTGATTTCTTATGTGGATGGGCCTTCGAATATACACTCGTTATGTGTAGGGGCCTCCGCATATTGAGTTTGTCTGTGCAGGGACCGCCGCATATTGATTCGTACTGTGCAACAGGTTTCCATATTGACATATTGTGTGGAGGGGCCTCCAACCTGTTGAATCCTTATCTGGGAAGGACCTTCATATATGAGTTCCTTATGTGAAGGAGCCTGTACATATTGATTCCTTATGTGGGAGGCCCTTCACATTTCGATCCCTATGTGGAAGGGCCTCCACATGGATTCCTTGTGTGGAGTAGGAGGCGAAAGATGATGAGGAGGAAGGGTAGGAGGCCGAGGTGGACACGGGGGAAGCGGATTTACATGTCGATTCCTTCTGTGACGGGGCGGGTACATAGAATGAAAGGAGAGGAGAGGAGGGGAGAGAGAGAGAGAGAGAGGAGAGAGTGTCAAGAGAGGGAGGAGAGAGACAGAGGGAGGAGGAGAGGGAGGAGGAGAGAGAGAGAGAGGAAGGGAGAGGAGAGGAGGAGAGAGAGGGAGAGAGAGTCGAGAGAGGGAGGAGGATAGAGAGAGAGAGTCAAGAGAGAGGGAGGGGGAGGAGAAGAGAGGAGAGATAACGAGAGAAAGAGGAACGGAATTCGGCAGAAAACGGGCGGGAACGTTGAGTCAAGGAGTCTGCCTCGAGGACGTCCAAAAGAGGCCAAAAACATTGATTCTCCTGTAAGTTTTGAAGGATTTTGACATTTGCTTCTTGTTCGGCTTTCCGACGGCCCGAGACGGCCCAAGAGCCCCCGAAGATCGCCCAAGAGGCATCCAAGATGGCCCCAGAACGGCCCAAGGGGCCCCCAAGACGGCCTCAAGAGGCCCCCAAGACGGCCCAAGAGGCCTCCAAAATGCTCAAAATGGCATCCAAGACGGCCCTGGAGCACCCCAAGAAAGCCCCAAGTCGGCCCAGAGAGGCCCCCGGAGCCCACCAAGACGGCCAAAGAAAGAGGCCCCCGAAAAGCCCCCAACGGTCCAAGAGGCCCCCAAGAAGCTCCCAGGAGGCCCCAAGAATGTCCCCAGAGGCTCCCAAAATGCCCCCGGGGATGCGACTGAATCCGGGAGGTTATCCAAGACTTAACTCCGGAGTTAAGTCGGCCCGACTCCGGGGTAAAGGCCAGCCCGCGGAAAACGTAACCCCGGAGTTAAGTCGCCGCCAAGCTGGCGGACGCACCAGCTATTACACGAATTAACTCCGGAGTTAAGTGATTCCCACACCGCGCGCCCCAGCCAGGCACATACTGAACTGTGGAGTTAAGTCGCCGCGGCATTGGGTTGGGTGCCGCGACGATTGAGAGGACAGGAAGTGGGAGAGGAGGAGGGCGACGACGAGGAATATGAGGAGGAGGAGTAAGGAGGACGAGGAACAGGAGGAGGAGGAGGAGGAGGAGGGGGAGGAGGAGGAGGAGGGGAAACATCAGGGCACGGGGCGCCGAACGCCGCAGCGCCAAAACAAATTCGGCGAATCAGAAACAAATGATGCGGCTGCTGGGCGGCGGGAACATTGAATCGCAAGATGCGCCCCCAAAGTCCCGTCGTTGCATTCCCGTCGTAAATGTTCCCTCCCGTTTCCCTTCCTTTTCCTTCCTTTCCCCGCCGTTTTCCCTTCCTTTTCCTTCCTTTTCCTACCGTTTTCCCTCCCATGTTCCCTTCCTTCCCTTTTCCCTCCCTTTCCCGTCACTTTTTCCATATATTGTTCCTTCCCTTTCCTCCCCTGTCCTTCCCGCCCTTTTTCCCTGCCTCTTCCTTCCCTTTTCCCTCCCTTTCCCCCCCCCTATCCTTCCCTTGTCCTTCCCTTTTCCTTCCCTTTTCCTTCCCTGTTCCCTCCCTTTTTCCTTTCCCTCCCTTGTTCTTCCCATGTCCCTCCCTTTTCCCCCCCTTTTCCCCCCCCTTTCCCTCCCTTTTCCTCCAATGTCCTTGCCTTTTTCCAAAATTTGTTCCATCCCTTGTTCCATCCGTTTTTCCTTTTCTGTTCCCTCCTTTTTCCTTCCCTTTTCCTTCCCTTTGTTCCACCTGTTTTCCCTCCCTTGTTCCCTGTCTTTTCCCTCCCTTTTCCCTCCCTGTTTCCCTCCCTTGTCCTTCCCCTTTTCTTTCCTTTTTCCAACCCTTTTCCTTCCCTGTCCTTCCCTTTTGCAACCCTCCCTTTTCGCTTTTTCCCGGGCCGAATGAAGGGCAGGGGCGGCCCGCGGAATCAATTAACTCCGGAATTAAGTGATTTTGCGGCCGGGTGGAAGAAGCACTCATAGAGTGACTTAACGGAGGAGGTAAGTCGTCGTGAAGGTGGTAGCAATACAAAAGGGGAGAATCACTTAACTTCGGAATTAAGTGATAATTACCTTCCTGGTTTCAGTGTTTTTCCCCCCTCCTCCTCCCTCCTCCTCCTCCTCCTCCTCCTCCCTCCTCCTCCTCCTCCTCCTCCTCCTCCTCCTCCCTCCTCCTCCTCCTCCTCCTCCTCCTCCTCCTCCTCCTCCTCCTCCTCCTCCTCCTCCTCCTCCCCCACAACCTCCTCCTTCTCCTCCTCCCCCACCACCTCCTCCACCTCCTCTTGATCTTCCCCGCCATTCTTCTCAAAATGTCTCCCGAAGGGTTTCCACAACGGTTGGGGAAACACATGGTCCGATACCTTGGCAGAGCTTTTGCCACAACGCTCGGCCACATGGGCGATTCTAGAAGGCTGGGGGCGGCAGAGATTCGCCGTAGGCGTCTTCGATAAACTTTGAACGGTTGGAGCGGATTGCTTGGATCCGCGACTGACCCCCCTCCCTGGCACGCGGAGCACGCCAGGGGCCGCGCCGGAGTCGCTTCAAGGCGGGGCCCAGCGCCAATCCAAGACATTCGCGCGGAGTGCATTTTTTTTCAATGCAAGGTGTCCTCCGACTGAAATTTCCCATCACGCCGCCCGTAATGATATGCAGGACTCGGGACGGTGGAATTGGCAGAACCGTCTGATAGAACCCATCGGGCCCGCCAGCACCACGACGCTCGACCAACGCTCGCCAATAACCAGCGGCGGCACTAGCCGACCTGCACCACGAGCCAGCGAGGAAGACGAAAATGAGCATACGACGAGGGCATAATACAGAACCAGAGCTGACGTAGACTATCCTGGACCTCGTACGCGTTTTTAGAACAACTTCGAAAAATCCGCCCGCCACTGGGGAAGCAAACAAAAACACCGATACCGCTACTACCTGGAACTCTCCCAGGATGCGTTCTGACCAGAACTTCGAGGGGAATACAGCGGTGGCTGCGAGGGCTTCCCAGGAGGGCCTCAAATTGCGAAAACGATGGAAGGGTAGCGGGTAGCGGTATTGGTACCTCCTCCTCCTCCTCCTCCACCCTCCTCGTCCGTGTCCTTGTCCTTGTCCTTGTCATTCTCCTCCTCCTCCTCCTCCTCCTCTTTCTCCTCTTCCACCTCTTCTGATCCGACCCTCCACGCCGCGCCAGGTCCTGGCTGGCGTGCTCCAGCGCCTGCGGACACCCGCACACCTCGCATGCGACGGGCGCGCGAGCACTTGGGGCCGCCAGGTTATGGCAGTAGCTCTCGGGAGGAGGGCCTGTCGCTCGTTTCCGCGGGGGGGGGTCAGAATGAATTCTCCGGGATAGGGAGGGAGGCAGGGAGGAAGAGAGAAGAGAGGAAGGAGTGAGGGGAGGGAGGAGGGAGGACAAGGCGGAGGGACAAGCTAGGTGCGCTAGCGTCAAAGCTGTTGTCCTAGCCCGCCCTCCCATCCCGTACCATGGCATAGATATACTATCTATTCGCACCGTCTGGTGTCGATCAAGGTAATGATCCCAAGAGGGTACGCGATTGATGGAAAAGCATGAGGTAGAGAACCACGGCAGAACATAGCATGTCATAGCATGACGTGGCATTGCGTTGTGAGACATTGCATCACAAATCATAGCAACGTAAACCATGGCATCGCACAGCGGTGCACAACACAGCATCGCATTGCAAGCCGTGGCAATGCACCGGATGGCTTGGAGGGTAAGTGGCGCGTCTACGAGAGGAGAGGGCCTGTTCGGAATGTCGGCTTCATGTCCTCCGTAACCGTGCCAGCTCTACGTGGGTGCTTTGGAATGCCAAGTGCCGTCCAGAGGCGAGGTAATGAGGCCAGCGCTGCAGCGAGAGCACGATTTCGAATGACCGAAGCGCGGAAAGGAGGGTAACTCGGTGTTGGTCGCACGTGAACATTTGTCGCCGCCAAAAGACTGAGCTGTACAAAGCTTTTGTGCTGCCGAAGCTGTTTTTATAACTCAGAAGCTTTGTGGCTTTGCGGGCAATTAGCTGCATGTTGCGCGAGCGTCAGACGGCGCTGTCTGGTAAAATCAAAGCGTTACTCGAGAACCACCCTCTGAGGCTTTTAACGTGCGAGCCAGGCACTGAACTCCCAAGAAGATGGGAGCATCAGCGACGCAGGGGGAGGCCTAATTAGCAGTGGGCTCCTTGCGTCTATGGGCTTTCGCTTACACATGGGATGTAGCCCTGGTTCCCCCGCCCACTCCTCCCTCCTGGTTTCCTCCCCCCTCTCCTCCCGTCCTCCGCCTCTTCCTGCTGTATACGAAATGTGTTTTTCACAGTCGGGCGCTTTGTTTCCTGCTTCACAATCGTGATACGCTCTGCGCTCTGTGCTTCACAATCGTGATGCGCTTCTTGTGCACGCCGCGCGCTACCGCAACTCGGAGATTTCAGCTCGGACTCGCGGTGGGTCCCGATGCTTTCCCCTGTGTATTGTACAGCTGCACAGCTTCTGATGTTTTATTAATCGCTTCGCTCATTCCGCCGGCCCTGGAGCGCTATGTGGGGCCTCTTGAGGCCGTCTTGGGGGCTTCTTGGGGGCTTCTTGGGAGCGTCTTGGGGCTCCTTGGCGGCGTCTTGGGCTCCCCTGGGGCCTCTTGGGGGGCTCTGGGCCCCTTGGGGCGGGAGGGGGGGTAGTCGATTGCAGGCCCCCTCCTCGGAGGCCACGATCCTCGTGAGGGGTGGCGAAAAATAGCCACCCCCCTGGGGATCGCCCGGGACCCGGCCGGGGATCAGCCGGGGTACATTTCGTCCCCCAGGGGCCGCCCCGCGCGCGCGAACTAGAAATATTGTTAAGTAGTTACCGGAGATCTTAACACGCCTCTGGCCCGTTGGGCCGGCGAATTTGCCAATGCGCCGTGTAGGCACCAAGCTCGACCGACCAGAAGCGACCGGATTGTAAAAAACACCTAGGACATTGGGAAAAGGAAGAGAAATAGGAGAGGGAAGAGGGGACGAGGACGTTGAGAATGAGAGGGAAGAAGGGGCGAGGGACGAGGAGAGGGAAGAAGGGGCGAGGGAGATTCAGGGTGGAGGAGGAAGGGAAATGAGGTAACCAGAAAAGGACGAGGGTAACGAACATGCTCGTGATGAGTGTGACGATGATATAGGTGATCATGTTGATGATTGGTGACGGTGATGACTAACCTTCTTGGGGGAGGACCCCGATGAAAGCAAACGCGCGGCACACCAGTCACACGTAGCACACCCAACCACAGCGGGCACACCAAGCACGCGAGACACACCAGGCACGTAGAAAAGCAGGTGTGCAAATTCGCGAGCGCGGCGCGTTTCAAAAAGCCCAACGGGATTCCGCGATCTGGGGCGACGTCTTCGGAAACCCCCAGGGCCATCTCTGGCCGTCTTGGACAATCGCGGTTCCCAGCTACTGTGTTTTAGTGCATGCCCGCCATCGCACAGCCTCTTTGGATGTCGCCGCGCACTGTACGGGCATCGGTATTTTCACGCAGCGCACGGCGTCTCCAAATCCGCGCGGCAAAAAACACAAATCTGCGAAGCGTGATATTGTTGACCTCCTTTGTTTTACAGCCAAAGGGCATCGCCGTGGAGCAACAACTTAACCAACTCAGGCGAACAAGTCGGTAGCACAATGTCCTCGCCGAAACCGTTAACCAACACTGCGAAGCCAGATATGCACCATTTGATCCGCTGGAGCTTTCAACGGAGAGCCGACAGGGGAACAACCACCTTCCTCCAAAACAACTCTTCTTACGGCATTGCGACAACAACTTCCCGGGATCTCCTCATGTCGAAAGACATTCGACGCACCTACCTGCAGCGCAAAACCCTCCGTAGAGTAACGCACAACTGGGGCGACCGATCCATACCAACTTGGGCCTCCCTGCTGGATAAGCAAAGATTGTAAGGATCAAATGCCGGCAGAAGGTCGCAGCACTGAACCAAGAGAACGAATAGCACACATCAGCTCGTGCGCCGAAGGCCCGTTGACTTCGGCCCCGTAGTTCAGGCGCGCCTTTGGACCGCTCACGAAAACTTTCTGTGTTGTTGTTATCCAAGATGGCCTGGACCCGCAAGAGTCTCGTGGTTCTCTTCGGACATCTATATATACACGTATAAGCAGAGCGCTGTGTAAACTTCTTGCGGCTGCTTTTCTGTCTCCAGCTCCTGCCTCCCCAAAAAACACCGTCGACTCCGACAACCCCGAACCTCCGTAATCCCCTGGGGCAGACTGCATTGCCTGGCCAAGGCAGAGCGATGAAAGACTGACTGCCGCATTCCCAGCTGCCACCTGACACTTCATGTCGTGTGGCATGCCAACATTAAACTGAGCAAACGTTATGAACGACGTTCTGTGCAACCTTCTTAGGCTTGCCCGTCGATGGAACTCCGTAGTCATCGATGTAGATGTCCAGGGACGTGCGCCAGGGTATCTGTGGCGCTCGTGGTTGGAACGACAACAGATACAGCAGGGAGCAGCCCGCTCTTGCACCTCCGGCTGCAAGGCGGGATTCTTGAAGAATTGCACCCATGCTGAGGATCCTTGGGCTCCTGTACTAACGCGAGACAGCTGATGTGGGACTCCCAATGAATCGCGTCTGCTTGCACTCGTGAGACTTGGCGAGGTCCCCAAGCACCGTGAATGCGGCATGATCCTCCTGTTCCTTGCTCCTCCCATCTTTGCCCGCTCTGTTCCTCAGGGTTCGGATGAGGAGGAAGGAGGAGGGTCGACGGACGAAGGCGGAGGACAGAGGAGGCAAGAGGAGGAGGAAAGACGAGGGAGAGGGAGGAATGCGAGGAGGTGTGGGTTGCAGCACGGCTTTGCAGCAGCGCGTCTGGAGTCCCCCCAGATGGGCCAGGCCAACCAGCGTGCCCGACATGTCAGGCGGAGGAGAGAGGATGGCGGAGGAAGGCAGGACGAGGAGGCCACGACGAGACCGCGCCTCCTTCTCCTCTTCTTACTCCGCCTCCTCCCTCATCCACCTGCGCCTCCTCCTCATCGTCCCTCGTCCTATGGCCTCTCCGAATTGCCTCTCTCTCGTCGATCCTCTCCCCCTGCCCATCCCAAGATGCGCGTCGGGTATTGCTGCATCTGCTCGGAGAAGAACTCAAATCATATCGGCCACGTTAGGATGCACAACAACGCCATGCAAACATCGGGCCGCTTCGGGTCGTCGGGATATCGGAACCGAACCGGATCGGCCCCGGCGGCATCGGTACTGAATCGGATCGATCGGATCGGCATGAACTACCCTGCCCTGTCTCCTCCCCCTCCCCCTCCTCGTCGACCCCACTTTTCCCTTGTCGATCCTCGTTGCCCCTCCTTGTCGACCCCTCCTGCTCGACCCCCTCCTCGTCGACCCCTCCTCGTCGACCCCTCCTCGTCCCACTCCTCGTCGACCCCCTCTTGTCCCTCCTCCCTCCTCGCCCTCCACCCACCCCGCCCGCGGGCGGGGCCAAGGTCCGCGCCGCCGCGAGCACAATTTCCCTGTCCTGCCGCGGTCCGCGACGAGGGAGGAGAGACAAGGAGGAGGGAACGTTACCTTTGCCGGTCGAATTGCAAACGTGCGTATGTACGCTAAGGTACCTGGGCCCTGTCACAGGGGGCCTCGCAGACATGCCGCAGGACAAAGCACAGTGAATAAGTGTCTGGCCAACTCTCTGGGCGACAGGTTTCGAACGCGCACACACACACACACAAAGAAAAAACACACACACACACACACACACACACACGCACCCACACAGACTCGCACACACAGAGACACGCGCACACAGTGTTTGGGCCGCCATTCTCCACTTAGTGGTGCACAAGCCCAACAGGGTATAGTAGAAGTGTCTCTGGCCCCGATCGAACCCTCATCGGTCCGGTTGCTGGCCGTGTGTTTTGCCAACGTCGCATACCTCGACGCTGCCGACACACCCGCTTGCACAACAGCGAGGGGGCTTAGCCGCACGCGACCGCTGACTGCGGGCACTATCTAGCAAGCCCCAGGCGGCGCCTAGCCGTGCCTCAATGAGCGTCTGCGCCCTCAGGATTAGGACTGCACCGCCACCGAGAGGAGGGGGGAGGGGCGTGGGGAGAACCCGGGGAGGAGCGGAGAGCCTTCTTATGCGGGGCAGAGGGGCGTGCGGGCCAGCGTCAAGACAGGCAGGCCGCGGAGGCCTTCGGCAGGCTGGTTGGACAGCCTCCCCCTCCCCTCCCCCTCCTCTTCCTACTACTACTCCACCTCCCCCTCCTCCCTCCACCTCCCCTCTCCTCCTCCTCCCTCTCCTCCTCCACCTCTTCTCACGTCCTCACGTTTCGTCAAACTCCTCCTCCGCCTCCTCCTCCT